TCTAGTCCATCATCTCGACCCTACAACAAGGCCGCCTCCTACCTCCACTGACACACCTACGCTCTCAGTTTGGCTAATACAACGTCAACATCCATTGGGCTCACAATTGCATCATGAACACCACCTCGCATGAGCCCAACATGACCGTCATTGCCAGCCTCCATGCACAACCTCACCTATGGTGGTCAACCCGCTCCACCCATGAACGTCGAGGAAACCAATCTGCCGCTTGCACATTTGTGCTGCAGTGAGCAACGACAACATCACCGCTGCAGAAAGAGGCTAGAAATAGATGCTACACTAACAAAAGAAGTCGCATCAGCCGCACGGCGTGCCTGCCACCTGGGACCCCCGTAGGCACCGTTCGCCAACCTTGTCTGCAGCCACCCACACTACTACAGAACTGATTTTTAGCAACAATTTTTTTGGCAGAGGCAGCTCCTGATTGAGCCGCCTTTGCAGTGGCCCCTGAATGAATCCGCCTTTGAAGAAGCATTTGTAGTGGTGGCTCAATTAGTAGCCACCTCTACAATCAAGCAGTGTATAAGTAGCAGCCCCCTTTGTAACACCTCTGGTGTTTTGACCTATCATTAAAATTTGACATGTCATCATATGCATTGCAAATCATTCATAAAGTAGAAAAATTTGAATGCATTCACTAAATAAGCTTTATTTCATAAGTTGTTATTTTATGTGATACAATGTGATTCAAAACTCTGAATGAAAATCATGACCACAAGAGTCAAAATTCATGTGATCATGTGAGACCATGTGTTAATTGACTCAAATAACCCTAATGGGCCATGTTACTGGTCAAAAATTAAAGTTAAGTCAAAAGGTAAACAAATCAAATTTGAATTCAAATTCCAATTATAAAAGTCCTTTTTGCCCCTTTTGTCTATTTCAAAATCCATTTGGAATTTGGAGTTGTGACAAAAAGCAAAGTTGAAGTTTATTTTATAAAATTTGGTATTTAAAGTTTTGAAAGTTTACATATAAAATTTAGAGTAATTTTGAAACGGTTCAAATACTCAAATGCACCCCAAATTCAAATTTCAAAATGGAGGCAGAATTTGAAAATGTTCCTTGAAGCAAAGTTGTAGAGTTTGAAAAGTTGAGCAACTTTCATTTTTGGAGATTTTCAACTTCTTTAGAAAAATTGGGAGTAATTTGTAAAATGAACTCAGTGACAAATCTGTAAATACTTCAAAAATCAAGTTGACAATAGGGCGCCACCGCTCCACCGCCGGCGTCCTTTCTCCGGTCTTCCAGGCGCGCCCGTGGCCGCCCTCGGCTTCGCGCTGGCGCGGGGAGCACGCTGCGTGTCGATTCCGCGCGCTCCTGGCCGCGCTATAAAGCCCAGACGTCGCCGTTCATTTTTCTTCCTTCCCTCTATTTTCCCGACGCCGCCGTCTCGACTCTGGCGAGCTTCCCTCGTCTCCTCAGCGCAAGATAGCCCTAGAAAAGTCATGTCCTAGTTCTGCCTGCTCCTTGCGCATCCGACCGAGCTGTTGCTACCGCTTGATTTTGCCGAGAGCTCGCTGTCCATGTTCTTCTTCCTCACGGCCGGCGACCTCGACCGAAACTCCGATTCACCGTGGCCAGCATCGTCCGGTGAGCTGTTGCCCTTTCTTGTTGACTCTACGGTTTTGTCTCGATGCTATAGTGCTTATTCCACTCTTGCCTGCTCGTTTTGCCCACTGCAGTCGCCGGAACGCCGTCGTCGACGAGGTCCGCTCCGCCGTGATCACGGTCACCGTTTAGCTAGTATCTAGGAATGTATCAGCACTGAGCGTGGGTTCAGTTTGCGTCTGCTCCGGTAATTGCCAGCGACAAACGCCAAATTGCCTGAAACTTATGATAAAGTTTGTACTACAGTACTTATTCGAGATGAACAGTTGTGCAAATTGCCAGCGACCATAGCCACTGCTTGCGTCACCGTTAAACGTAATGTTCCATAGCGAGCAAGCCATTGCCATATGCAAGGCAAGTCGCTACAGGGCACCTATCCCCATTACAAAAATGCAATATTTGGAGAGCAAGCAAATTCATGGTGTAAAATGAATATTATTGAACAAGCAATATTTCATATTACACATATTACAAGGGACATCTACGACATGGTTTAATTTTCTATTTATACTATGGCTATGTGTTGAGTTTTTGGTAGAATTTTAACATGCCAAGGGGCTATTTTATAATAAAAGCGAGTTCACGGGATATTTCTTCTTTTAGAAGAAGCCAAAGGAAAACTTTGTGCTTTGACAGACAAAAAGAGTCCCACGTCCATTTGCAAACTGTGTACCGGAGTGATTTCCATTATTTTCCTGTAAACTTTTGTCGAAGAGTATAGACTTGAGTTTGCGGAAAGCCTCCAAATATCCATGTTTCAGATAGGTTTAGGGAGATCAACTCACCCGAAAGATTTTGCAACTGCCCATAGGCCACTTCAGATAGAGGCAGATGAAAGAGAGTTGTGAGCTGGCCTTGTTCAATTGCTTTGGCTACTAAAATTGACTTGTTCTTTGCAAAGGAGAAAAATTCAGGTAGTGTACTTGATAGTGGCTTAGATTTCCAGCTGTCCTTCCAAAATAGACAAGTTTTTCTATTTTATAGGTTCACTTGCATTAATTCATTGTATGTGATTTCAGAACGTCTCTCCACCAGAAAGAAACCTTTCTTTGTATGGCTTGGTAATTTTTCATTGCTGTAATGCTTTTCCCATCTAGTTGAACCCAGGGTATGTCTCCCATTTGATCATATGTTATTTCTTTTTATTTCCCACTCCTTACCGAAAGCATTTCCCCTCTAGCAAGTCAAATCTCTGGTGAGTTCCTTCGTGTAGCCAATAGAAACCCATAGTATAAACAGGAATGCTTTTTTCACGAGCGGGTTCTCACCCGTATACACAGGAATGCTAGTGAGGCTTGTGTTAATAATCAAGATAGATCTCCCCCCATATAACAAGTGTCCACATTTCCAGGTCACTAGTCTTCTCTCTTTTTCCCCCGCTTACTCAATTCAGCCTTAGTTAATCTTCTGTCATTTGCCGTGTGCAATTGAAAGCATCAGCTATATTCTGACTTTCCCTGTCATTGAGACCTACGGTAAACACAATACTCTTTGAGTGTTTATCGTCGTTCCAGATATCTCTTCATAACAAAACAACAAAAAATTCATGTGTTCATAATCTCTTGCTCTGAGTAGTCCAGGACCAGAAATGCGTCGTCTGCTCACTGTAAATGAGTGCCTCCTGTTCAGCTGATATTAAAGCCGGCTGATAAGTTAAGCGAACGTGCCGTTTCTGGTAGAAGACCCTTTTAACACTCCCTTCTCACCGGCCATACCTTGGTGTGAACTGAAACGATATATTCGATTCCATCGCACAATTTCTTCCCTAATAAGCTCTAGGCAGAGAATCATTTCACTCCGCGTCAAAAAAACTCAAAACAGGTGACGGGACCCGGCCGTCCACGGAGCCAAAGCATACCGACGGCTCCACAGCATTCCTTCGCCGCACCGCTTTGCTTCCTCGCAAAGCATCGGATCAGAGTCGCGTCGCCGTCAACGACGCAGTACCGGTACCGCGGCATCCTGCGCCCCGCCCACGTCCCCATCACCGTATTCGCATCGTCCGGCAAACGGCGACCAGCGCAAACACACACGCCATTGCTTTTAGTTTGTTCCCTCTCGCTATAAATCCTGCCCCCTTCTCCACTCCAGACGTATGCTTCCTCTCCCTCCCGCCGCACATCCGCTCACCGTCACCGGACCGCGTCAGCGATGGCCGAGGCACACAACGAGCGGCGCGTGGGGATGGTGGGCGACGTCCGGGACGCGCCGGCGGGCCACGAGAACGACCTCGAGGCCATCGAGCTCGCGCGCTTCGCCGTCGCCGAGCACAACAGCAAGACCGTAAGACACGTTCCTTTGCACCTTTTTTTAAGTTGAGATCGGAGATCGGAGCCGTCACTGACGATGTATATCTATCACATGTATGTATAACACACGTGCAGAACGCGATGCTGGAGTTCGAGAGGCTGGTGAAGGTGAGGCACCAGGTGGTGGCCGGGACCATGCACCACTTCACCGTCCAGGTGAAGGAGGCCGGCGGCGGCAAGAAGCTGTACGAGGCCAAGGTGTGGGAGAAGGTGTGGGAGAACTTCAAGCAGCTGCAGAGCTTCCAGCCGGTCGGGGACGCCGCGGCCGCCTGAGGTACAGGATCTTTCTACAGGGACTAGCACAAGAAATGCGTAGAAGGGAATAAAGACTAAAATGGTTCGTTCTGTAGAACCTGGTATTAGCAAGCTGCGATCACTGTTTAAAGTTCTCCTTGTGCTTGGATAACCATATTTCAGGTAGTAAAGGTATCATCTTCCAGTGCCATGATGAGATTTCCCCTCAAGGCTCACAAGCTTTTCGCTGGAGGCTGGATCACAACAATGAAAGAATTTAGCTGTCGGACATGAAATACATCCCACTGGAAAAGAATAATATTTATGATGAATAAACCAGCATCTTACCACATGTATTGTATCCTATATGATATATTGACTCCTGTAATGGAATGAGCTGTGCTAAGAAATCTGAAAGCCTTCTTGCTTTTTATATGTTGCCATACATCATACATCAACCAAGAGATTTCTCAACTATCCAAGGACGCAAAAGCATAATAATGAACATTAAACTGGAGAGCAACTGGAATGTGCAACTGGTACTTTAACATTAAACTGGAGAACAACTGGTACTATCTGCAGAAGCACTAGCTGTTGAGGGAATCTAACTTTAGAACATTACAGTCAACTAGTCGAGCGACCTTAACCTCTGGAACATTGTAAGCTACATCAGCAGCTATGATACAAATGATACATGAAAACTGCTACAGAGTTAAGTTGAACCTACAGTTGTCTTGCTATTCCTACTTACCAACTCTGAAGCTATAAAGGCGGAGCTTAGTCTTCATTGTCATAATCCTCATCCTCCTCCAATCTATGGTTTGTTCACAAAGCAAACTGGATAGGATCCATCTCCATCTTGTTCATGTCAGGCAGTTCCCAAGCACCAAGAAAGTCCTTGAGTTTTGCTCCTTCCTTTGACCGTGGAACAGATGGTCCAGGTCCTGCAGTGGCTGCGACGGAACTAGTTGCTGGAGCTGGCAGCTGGGCTTGGGGTGGCACTGTAACCTCATCCTCTTCATCAGTTGGATCCAAATTCAAGTCAATGTTCCTTAAGGAAGCCCTGGCATTGCTCACTGGTGTAGTAGCCGCTTTTGCTTCAGTTGCATTCGGGATCTCATCTGCTACCTCCACCTTTAGGCTGGCAAGCTTGCTAGATTGGTTCTCCACGAATTGTTCATGAGTTGTGAAAACCTCCCACCAAGCTCCACGTCCACGGCGGCCCACGGCCTCTGCCATTGCTTGTATAGCTTTCTGCCTCCTGCACAAAAGCAACTCATTCAGCAAAATGAACTCAGAAAGTCTAAGGCTCAATAGAAAATGGGATTATCATATTTGATAATATGAAGTGAAACCTGGAAGACACATAACAGCAGGAAATTAAGTTCTGGCAGATACTTTAGATTAATATTAGTCGAAAAAATAGACCACTTTGTCCATCCTTGGGACTTTCAAACCAACCAATCTAGTCACTAAGCTCTCTTTTTTGGCTCCAATATATCCTTACTCCAACATGGCATGCCTAGCCAGTGTTGGTCATCCTTTGTTGAGCAATCGCGGAAGAGAAGTCTCTTTTACACTTGTTTTGCTACATTACCAAAGGAATGTATGATGTAATCTCCAACCAATGACTAATCCGCTACCTTGGCAGCTATAAAAGGTTGTCTACAGATATACTATGTGATAAGTGAGAGTACGATTAACCATAATCCAACAAGGAAAGAAAGGGCATTGAAGGAGACAGTGAAGTAACATATCAGTAAAGAAACAAAAAGGGTAAAAAATAGTTAAGGATGCTCATAGTCAATTGGACTGGGATATTGTTGCATCCATTCCCTTAGTAATTGAGCATAACAAGAACAAAAGAGACATTTCATGTGTGATGAAACAGCAACGGATGTCCATGGGTGACAAGGCATGTAATGTGGCATGCCATATGGGAGCAAGGACAGGTTTGAGCCCCCAAAAGAGAAAGTTATAGAATTGAAATGGACAATCCAAAAGTTCAGGGACAAAAGTAAAATTTGAGGGGTAAAATTGGTTATTTCGCCAAAATTTCTGAAAGATGTATGAGAGCTGTGAAATATACAACATCCACAAAGAGTTATTATGGTCTTATGGATAATAGTGACTTACATTTCTTGTCCTCTTTAATTCCTCCTCACTTCCATCTTCTTCAGCTTTCCTGATGACAATTCGACATCTATTAACACTTTGTAGAAGATGATTGGGACATGTAAGAACCTTGTTAACTACAAGATAGATAAATTACCTCCTTTTGCCAAGCTTATCATCAGCAATAACATCAGAAGGACCAATGTCTGGATCTTTGCTGACTACTTCAGTCAAGAAGTCATAGACGTTGTACATTTGTATGCACTGCTTCCTGAACACATTAAGCAAAAAAATTTAATGAGTTCAAGAAATGATGAATTAAAAACATGCAAAAAATGATACTACAATCCAGAAAATAAGTTCATTTTCTCTCCATACAATGACATAACACAACCTATACCCAGGGGCGGACACTGGGCAGAGGGCGCTCAAGCCCCCTACCCATATCGCAGCAAGTGGAACCCCTGTGGAGTCCCAATGAATTTTAGGCAAAATTCTATAGTGTAGGGGGCTGAGACTTAAGATCGAACAAAGCAGTGTTGTTCAGCCCCCCCCACCTGAAATATTTTTACGGGTCCGCCGCTGCCTATACCCCACCCCCATGCCTCGCCAGCACCTGTCTACATTTTTTTTCCAATCACTCAACAGGCCATGCAGCACACACTTAATTTTTCTTTCTCACAAGACTAGGATCATTATAAATATCAGCAAAGAAAGAATTTACAGGATTCGAACACAACTAATGTGGACCCTAAACAGCAGTTAGTACACAGGATCACCAGATAATATAACTCAGAACAGTTTAGCTTGAAAAGGAATGCCTATACAGAACCTATGCTCCTGCCAAGCCAAAGCAAGGCCTTCCTTGCCAATACCAATATATACTGGAGTTTATTGCTTGCTTGTAGAATAGCCTACATGCGACATGTAAAATCAACGTGCAACAAAGGAAAGACTAAAATGTAAAGCAGATAAATACTACTAAGCTTCTTTTTTATGATAATCAAGTAGGGCTATGCACTCATATATTTTCTATAACTTGCTCCTCCCTCTTACATTGATCAAACGAAAAAATATACCCAAACTCCGTACGACAAGAAGATGGGTCAAGTATACTTACAAATGGGAAGAACCCAGAGTCTTGACCCCCTTTCGAATTGTAATATCATATGTCCTATCACATAAAAGGGCGTACCCAGTGCAGAGAGCTCCCGCTCTGTGCGGGGTCTGGGGAAGGGTGTCAGCGGCAAGCCTTACCCTCGCCTGTGCAATGCGAGGAGACTGCGACTCAAACCCGGGACCTTTCGGTCACAGGCGGTAAGACTCTACCGCTTGCACCAGGCCCGCCCTTCATATGTCCTATCACATAAATCTTGCAGAAATAGCTCCAATGCTTTGGCTACAAATCAAGGACATTCAAGACATGGATGTTAGATAATTTGAACAAAATGTGGACAATGCTAAAAGAAATTATATTGATATTGAAAAACAGACTACAAAAATATAATAGGCTAGTTAAAACGGCAAGACAAATTTGGAGTTACTTTGCACAGTATGCAGACATATCATCTCAAACGCTGGAAGGCAATTCAATTTAAATAAAGAAAAGTGCATGTATCACCAGCGGAAGACAAAGCGGAAATTAGAGTACAGATATCAACATATGATTTAAAGCATACTCTGCATTTTGCAACTGATAAATAATCCGCACTATTTAAAACAGTAGTCCTGTTTAATTTTCTACATCCACTGCCAAATGGAATTATGGACCAATTTAATCTTGCTACTACATTACTTAACTTTCTCTAAATAATATGTTGTAATGATTGATGAAGATTGTGATAACTATATTATACTGCATCATACTTCGTCAAAACAATTACAGAAACAATAGAGAGCTATCACATTTTGCTTATGGTAATACTTATAAGTACCTAAGTTTTCCAAAGAGAACGCCTGACATTACATAACAATATTTTGGCACCAATATCAAAACCAGAGAACCAATTAAAACATTCTATTTCTGATAAAGTAATACATCGACAAGCATGGGAAGTACACGCTTTACATGAAAATATAGTTTAGTTGCCTGTGATTTTATCCTTTTGGTCTCCTAAATTAAATCCTAATCAATTCTTGGATAACAGAATCATAACATGGCAGGAAAAAAGATTCATTCTGCAGTGATTACTGATTAGTGAAAGAACTATATGGCTAAAATTGATATAGTAGGATGCCAAACAGCTATCTAGGTAAATGGTAACAAAAAAAAAAATAGTAGATTGACTTACACACTAGAACAGGTACAGCTAAAGCAATCTTGCCCACATCTTCATCTGCTTGCATGATCTTCTTAATCCGAGGCTGTATGTTAAAACACAATAAGTCGACATTAGATCAACACAAGGGTATAGTCAAGAAATTACATGAAGCAATGTTCGTAATTATGATTATCCCATACTAAACATCAACCGCCTTTCCATTCCACAACTTGAGTAAAAAATGAAAGTGGTATGTAATTAATTTTGTCCACTTGCTTTGCTACATGAGGTGACAAACATCAATCCTAGCATATGTAGAAACATAATTTCAGAGCAAATGATAGTGAAGATTGCATCCCAAATGACTATGCACCACATATGGGATTCCATGTGAAACAGACTTTTGCCGCCTAAATATTTAAATCTACAAATGCATACCACACCGATAAAATACCATTGCAAAATAACTGATGAGTACACAGATTTCTTTTGAATAGAAATTACACCAGATGATTATATCATGCTTGGGATCAGATGGTATCACAAAGCCGGCATTCTCACAAAACTAAGCTGATAATCCAGTAACCACACTATCAACCACCATCACAAAACTAAGCTGATAATCCAGTAACCACACTATCAACCACCATAGGTCAAGAATTATAAGGGCTTGCAGACAATCGATAATGGTTAAACTAACAACGGGAACATCCAAAAAGAATATTATTTGAAAACTTCTCAATGCATCTGGACACCAAAATTTTTGCTCCTCATCATTCCTTAAATTATAACAGATCATAGAATTATGACCTGGTAGTTAAGCATGTAATTCTCAGAACTAAATCTACTCAAACAAGACCCCTGAGGTAACCTGATCCACGCCAAAAGCCCATCACAGAAATGCTGGTGGTAGGTAACAAGACCTAAACATTCCAGGACCCTGTACAGATCGACTGCTTAGATCTACCGCGAATTCACAAAATCAACAACCAACCAAAGCCCTGAAGTATCCTGATGTATGTACTGAACGAACCACAAAAAGTTTATGTGAAACACAACCATGCATACCATAAGCTTAGGGCATACCAATCCAGTGGAATCATAGGGAAACCTTTCATGAGGAAGAACAAAAAAGAAAGAAAGAAATCGCAAGCAAACTCCACCATCAGAAATTCAAACAGCCACATGCATAACACAGTCACACGTATCTATCATCCGCGCACAAATACGCACAGGAACCAGGATACAGGAATTCAAACCGATCGCAGGATCTGAGATTGAATCTTACAGCGGGGAAGCGCGTGTCCAGCTTCTTCCTCATGGCGCCGACGACAAGGCGCTGGAACCAGCGCCGGAAACCTCCTCCTCAACCGCGGCGAGTGCCGCGACCCGGGGTTCGATCGCCGCGGGGAGCGCAGCTACAGGGGAGGACATCGGATCGGAGGGGAAGAACAGGAACATTAAATAGCAATTCGGGAGGGATTGGGGGATTTGGGGGATTAGGGTTTCCGTTACCAGCTTTAGTGTTTGCCTCTTTTGTGAAACACAACACCTTTTCCCCCAAATCGTTCGATCCGGGGCCGGGCCGCGCGAATCGGGCCAAAGCCTCCTCCGCTCTCCGTCCCGCGGGATCTGGACCGTGGACCCGGTGCATAGTAGCCTAACACCGCACTGAACAGCACGCGAAGTGGGGTCTGCTCGGCCTATGTACAGCAGACCGGGTCCACGGAGCTGGTTCTCGCCCACGGTGACCTCACCACAGCGCGCGGGTAGTAGAACGCGGGACGGGAGGGGAGGGGCGGGCCCCACGTCCGTGGACTTTCCGTGCGTTAGCGCAGCCTCTCGTTCGTTCGTTCTATCCACGGAGGGGGAGCGGGGCCCGCTTGCCAGAGCGGGGGTTGGGCGGGCGGGCAGAGCCGTGGCGCTGTTGGCCTCCCGTGTCCGCCGTCCGTCTGGTCTGGTGGTGGGGAATCCGACGGCTCACCGAGCGGCCCGGACACGCCTAGAGTCCTCCCAAATTTGGGTGCAACCAACCCCGGCTTGGAGTCTGCCTTGTGACCTGTGAGATAAGGCCTCGACGCGATCCCACGTCATGTCAATTAACTCCATCGTCTATCCTTTTCTTCTCTTCCATCAGAAACATCCTTATCGTTTATTGCTTTCTTTTAGTAGCACAGGATATAAAGATAAAAAGGAAAAACATTGCCTAAAACGAGAACGACGCACCGCCCTCGAACCTACGAGCCTCTAAAGTTGAACGGTGGCACGGATATTCCCGTTTCATCGCTTGCTTTATTTGATTTGATGTCAAAGGAATACAATAATACAATTCTAGACTTAAAACTAAAATCAAAATTTTAAGTTCGACTTGATTTACAAAAAAATGTACTCCCTATATTTTACTTTCTCCATTTCGAATTATAAGTCATCTTGATTATTCTAGATGTATTTGTTTGGCTATAAACATTGCATGTATGGTACATGATTTTAAAAAAAATCAAAATAACTTATAATTTAGAATGAACATAGTAATTTATAAGTCATTTTGGTATATTTAGGTATAAATATATGCATATTTAAAATTGGGAAATGCTAGTATTGGCTTTGTTTGGATGAAGCAGCACATTTATATCTCTATTGGATTTAGCCCTTGTTTGGATCCATTAGATGTTAATAGTTAATAGCTAGGTAATGGCTCCGTTCGCTTTGCTGAAGAGAGAAAAATATTGTTCCAGCTAAAAAAATAAGCTGAAAAAGATGGATTATAAGATAAACGAACAGGGCCAATAACTCGTAGTTAATATTGGCTAGCTACCTGTTAGCTGGTTTGGTCCAACTAGTGAGATAGTTGTTAGTTGGATATTCGGTGAACAATTAGCTGTATGTATTGGATTCAAAGAAGCTAACTATTAGCTCTATGGATCCAAACAAGATCTTGCCATGAGAGTATAATACATGATTAATCTAATGATACTTATTCAAGACTTGTTTGATCCCATGTAGCTAACAATTAGCTGTTAAAAATCAGATGAGGTCATGTCGGGATCCCCAACTAATGTCTCACCTACCACGCAGGTATCAATTAGCTATTACTAGTTTTTTCCAGCAAACAAATTTAATAGTTAGTTGGATGGATGCAAAGAGAGCCTCAGTACTACAAATGCTAGTATTTTTTTTATAGATTTGATCAACTTTAATGACTCTTTAAAATGAGAATTGTTCTTTTCTTTAAAACAAATTAGCTACTAAAAATTGGCTAAGGTCATTGTTTAGATCTAACTAATAAGTTAACTAATGGCTTACCTACCACCCGGCTAACAATTAGCTATTAGCTAGTTTTTTTTCCAGCTAACACATTTTATAGTTAGATAGGTGGATGCGAACAAAACATCTATACCATAATTGTTACTGTTTTTTAATAAATTTGACTAAAATTTAAATTATTTGACTCTTTAATAGTAAGAATTGTTCTTTTTTAGAACTGATGGAATATCTTTGTATATCTTAGTCTCTTTGCCTCAATCTTCTATCACGCAAGCCACGCCCTTGACATTATTCTTTATTAACTAGTTGTGTTCCTTGTCAACAAAAGACATGTCGCATAGGAAGTTGTTGATAAAACCTTTACTTATCCAAATAGACTAGATTGAATTATTCAATCAGCTAGTTTTATGTATTTCTAAATTATAAGTCATTTTAACTTCTTTTAGAATACATAGTAAAATTTACATATCTATGCATAACATATATCTAAATAGGTAGTAAAAGATATATACATAGAGAAACCAAAACGACTTATAATTTGGATTAGAGAAGTAACTAGTAGCTGACACATATAACTAGTACCATTATTTAAAAAGGACCTTGGCCTGGCTTCCATTTACGACATTATTAGGCTAATCCCAACCCATGATTTCCATAAACAGTTTCTAGAGGTGTGAGAGTGAGAGAGCAATAAATATCAATAGAAACTAACCTTCCTAGCTCATGGTTTTCATAGTAGTTTTTATGTAGAAAAACAATAATTAACCTTATGCGTGCACCAAAATGGGAGTTGATCAAAGTATGGCAAGTAACAAAGTAGCTCTTGTGTGACATCTCTTCTCAAATATACATCTCAACTTTCATACGCAAGTACATAGTAGTTCGTACGTTAAGAATTCAGCACCAATGCCGTGATAGTAAAATATTAACTCAAGTACAAAATAGTTTATACTCAAATGGTAGCATACTTGATAACAAAATTAACAACTCAAATTCATACACAATATAATAAAAAAATATCAAATTAGGTAGCTAAGATATGCGAATGCATAGCAAAATGTAAAGGTCATATCATCATTCCATCATCTTGATGGGCATCAATTTCAGGAACAACATCATCTCCTGTCCAATACAAAAAATCTTAGAGAGTCTGAACGGCATCAAATTTTACACAGAGAAATAACAAATAGTGAGTTTCCAAATAAATAATAATGGAACATTTCTATATAATGGTACTCTCAATATATAGTATAGATGGGTATAGGTCACAGTGAAAGCATTGGCATTAGTTTATCATATAATTGATTGTTACCTAATTAATTTAAGTTCCCAAACTTATGCCAAATATGCTCAATAATCAAGTCTAAATGTAGTTGCTTATAAGCAGCATGATCATGAATGTGTGCATTTCTTGCTAGTACTTTTGCCATCTCTAGCTTCCTCATTTAGACCAATAGGACTCGGCTCTATGTCTTTCTCATCCTCGATTATATATCATATTGTGAAGGATGATACAAGCTTTCACTACATTCTCAAGATCTCCTTATTCATATAGACGTGCTGGTCGATGCAAAATACAAAAACGAGACTACGAAATCCCAAATGCACATTCAACATCCTTCCTTATCCTTCTTGATGTTGTGCAAATAATTTATACTTATCAGATTATGGTTTGTGTATTGAATTTACAAAAAAAAAACCACTCTAGATATACACCATCCGCTATGTAATAACTTTGGTCTTCCATTGATAATATTGTACCACCAATTATGTCTCATGACCACCCAAATAAGCAATTCCCCAATCACTTCTCCCTCTCCCTCCCAATTGAAACCCTAGCAGCAACACCAGTCAGTTACGTAGCGCAGCTACCTCAAGCCGAACGGGAAGAACTACATGGACTTGATGCAAGGGCAAGTTGCAGGTAACTAGTCTTTGTAGAAATCTGGCAAGTGACATTGCAGGCTGCATTGATGAGGATCAAGACCTAGCTTGAAATATCCAACCTCGAAATTCTAAATTCACCATTGTGGGAAGCTCGTTACTTTAGACTTCGTATAGGTGGGTATATTATAAAAGCTAGAGTTTAATAAGATAGTCTCCCCCATACCCTAGCCCCCACCCTTAGTCCCTCACCCTCACGTCCTCACCCTCACCTAATAGTGACGGAGCTTCCTTATCAGCTATCAAATTTATTAAGAATATTTTCATCTAGGGAAACCAACCCATAATAAGTAGTCTACATTTAGAAACAAAAACCTAATTATTTGATGGGACACTTTCAATTCACAACTAAACATTTCTGTCAGAATTAACCATAATGGCTCCACTTTTGTTGAAATTTATTTTCAGCCCAAACATGGTCTCATTACAGGTACAATAACCATTTCAAATTAGCAGCATATTCCTTACCATCTTAGATCTACACATCGTAGTATATCCATGTTCAATATAGGAAAAAGTCCATTCTAGCTCCTTGAACTACGTGTAGTTTGATTGTCCTCCTCGAACTCTAAAACTATACATCTTACCACTTGAACTCGCAAAACGGTTCAAATTACCTCCCTACCTTTGTTTGGAGGGTTTTGAATGTGGTTTTATCCTTTTTTTATTAGGGCATGTTTAGAACGCGGGAAAAATCTTTGTTCCTATGCTTTTCTATGAAATTGAATTGATTCCTATGAAATTCATGTGTTCCAAGTAGGCCTTTAATAAACAAATAAGGTTTTCAACCACATAAAATATCTATATTCTTTTAAAATCATAGGGGTAGACCAGAAAATGACAAATTCAAATAAAATATTTAGAGCCCATAAAAATATCTCTAGATGCTTTAAAAAATAGGTTTAGATTTAGAAAAGTGGAAAAATATCCAAAATTATCTAGAAAAATATAAAAATATTCTGAGTGATTTGTAAACATGTTTTGAAATCTTTTTGCAATAAAAAACACAATAAACAACTAGTACAAGTGTATGGCATAAATGCATTCAACATTAATATATATTGCATTCATGCCGATCACATCTCATATTCTCGATGTGAAAAGTTTTAAACATGTTTATACATTGTATAAAATGTTTTGCTAATTTTCTAGATTTTTGTTGAATATTTTCCGGTTTTATAGATCTAAACCTATTCTTTTAAGTTTCTAAAGATGTTTTGATGAGCTCTAAATATTTTTTTGAAATTTTTGTATCTCTAGATTTTTCCCTTCAGAATTTTAAATCTTAGAGACATTTCTATCGTTTAAAAACTTTACCAAGTATTTACCCATTTTTTAACTAAAAAAAGACAAAACCATCTTTAAAACCACTCCAAATTAGGGAAGGAGGAGATAAAATATCTAGTTGGTGTTGGCTCGTCCTCGCGCGACTCGCATGCCCTAAGTAGCGTAGCCGCCGCACCCGCCTTCCACCACCGCTGGTCCCCCTCCCTCCTCCTCCGGCATCTCGCCGGAGGCCGGAGGGAGTGGGGATCCATTGTTTTTAATAAGTTTTCTAGTAGATCGAGTCCTTAGGTTAGGGTCTCTCCATGTCAAATTTTTGGTATTGGGGATTTATCTTCTCCTCTCCGGCGGCGACGAAGGAGAAGGGTGGAATCGTTTTCTCCATGGCGGCTATGTTGAAGATGAGGGCGACAACTACAGCGTCAACAACTTCACTGGCATGGCGATATGGAGACCTTTCTTTCCGGACGACGACATCAAGGCGGAGATGATGTCGCCGTCATGGAATAATTTTCTCCGGTCTCTTCTTCGTTTTGTCGTGGTTAGATCTGGCCACGATGAAGGACTAGGGAGAATAATTTTCAGATTAGTCTTCTGCATTCTTCAATGGTAGAAAGAAGAAGGAAGACAAAAGAAAGAAGTTTCTCAACTCTGCCTGTAGGAATGTTGGCCGTCGTTCGTTGGACATCTGTTCTCAGACCTTTTGCCGAGTGTTTGCTTGTGCGGTCATCCATACGAAGCGTCATACATGTTTGGTTTTGAGATTTGGAGCTATTCACAACATGGGTACAGTTTAGATAAAAATCAGAATATATATATTGTATTCCAAAGTGCTTGTAACGTATTGATGTACCCAGTTATTATATAATATAATTCTTCTTTCGTCTTTAAAAAAGAGATAAAATATCTAGTTTTGAGGTTCGAGAAGAAAAATCATATCCTGGCATAATAAGGCTTTACCGGATTTTATGGTCTCCCAAATAAGGCCCACAATGCAGAATTTTGTTATTGGGCCTTTTGCCTCCTTCATTTATAAGCTCGCAGCCCAAATTTCAGTTCAAAGTGGAATTGTTCTACCGTGTTATACTGTTATACAAATTACAAAGACACATTGTGTAAGACTATGACGAACTGTATGCGGCAATTTTATGAGATTCGAAATGCATCTAGCACCTCACATTTTACAACGCGAACAACTCTGTCCAACAGCTTTAGCTGAAAGCAGCAGCAGCGAGAAAAGCCCAAATCCAGCAGTGAATTCAAAGCGGCAGCAGGCACCTCACATCTCAACGGGGACCCTATTGTACAGCTCCTCCTCCTCCAGGCGCGGCTTGGCGACAGCTCGCAGCGGTGTGCCCATGAACGTGACGAGCCCGGGGGACTCCATCATGTTAACGTCCTCCGGTCTGGTGCCTTCAGGCAGGGACCACTCGAAGTGGTGCAGAAGGTGCCCGATCATGGAGGCCACGAGGTTGATGCCGAGCTGCGCACCAGGGCATACACGCCGGCCGGCACCGAACGGCAGCACCCTGAAGTCGCTGCCCTTGATGTCGATGTTCTCCTCCAGGAAGCGCTCCGGCCTGTACTCCAGCGGATTGCTCCAGACCTTGGGATCACGCGCCACCGCCCACACGTTCACCATCACGTTGGCGCCCTTGGGGATGTCGTAGCCACCGATCTTGACATTCGTGCTGGCCTTGTGGGGGAGCATGAGTGGCGTCGGCGGGTGCAGCCGGAGCGACTCCTTGACAACGGCCTGTAGGTAGGGAGGTTCTGGAAGTCGGTCTCTAACATGACGCGGTCACGGCCAACCACACGGTCGAGCTCCTCTTGCAGCTTCTTCTGCACCCTGGGGTTCCTAACCAGCTCTGCCATTGCCCACTCGACGGAGATGACGGTTGTGTCCATTCCAGCAGTGATCATGTCCTGAACATGAACAAATCAAGGAAGATTAGTACTCACAGCACCAACGAGAATTACCAGGACTGATTGTTTTACAAATCAAATGGCAGTCACCTAGTGGCATAGCAGCTAACTGGCCTAACCTTTGCACATTCCTAGTGTTTGGTAGTAGGTAAAATGAACATGAAGTGCAACTACTTCCAACTACAAAGTAAACATAGACAGTTTCCAAATCCCACCACCTTGCACCTACCTTAAGATAGTGATGTCTCGCTCTGACCCAAATACAAACTTTTTTTTTATTAAACATGCAGGGGAGCTGCGTATCATCATATTAAGAAGAAAAAGCGACAAGAACCCTTACGAAACACACACCCCATCACTACCAAGAAACTAGGTAAACATACGCGCCTATTACAGTAGAGAAACCCGACCCCAATCACCACTATACCTTTATCCAGTAACCTTTATAAAATAAATCACCATATTCAAGGGTATGCAACATGTGTGCATTGGGATCCTGTCTAGTAAAAAGAACATCCAGCTACAAATGAGTAATCTGTGAGAAAAGCGATCAAACATACCCATAGAAGTCCAATAACTGTGTCTTCACTAAGGTCATACTGTTCTTTGAGGGTGAAGAGTGCATCCACAAAGTGCTGCTTGGCACCACTCTCCTTGAGAGACTTAGCGTGCTCATCAATGATCTTCATTGTCAGGCGGTCCCTTCTCTCATTGTGAGTTTTGTAAAGCTCCTCATTAAGTGGACACAACCATCTCAAATACCAAATAAACTCAGCAACAGAGAGAGATGCACCAATCTTGATCCCATTGTTCACAATAGTCTTAAACTCACGCCCTTGTTCGTCAATGTCACCGTTTGCATTCATGAATCGTTTCCCAAATGCCAGCCTTGTTATGTTGTTGAAGGCCACCATAGAAAGGTGGTTCCGCACTACCATTGGCTTTCCTTCATTACCTGAATACAACATAAGATTAAGTAATAGTTTAAAACTATATACTATGATGAAGTGCTTGACTGATTTGGTAGCTGACTGTCTCGCTAACGTCATCCATAGAAATATGTTGTAATTCCTTTTCTGTAGACAGCTCCATGAAATGCATTAATGGAACATGAATGTTTGCTAAACAATATAAAAATGCTACCGTGGGCGATTTGTTTTGCAACTAATGTTACAAAACAGGAAGGAGAATAAGATAGTGGGTGCCTAATGAATTACATCAATAGCCACTGGAACAATCAATACTGTGCTAAATAAAGTCAAATATCAGTGAGTGGTTTGCTTTGCAACTAACATATCAAGGAAGGAGAATATGACTATTAATATTTTCTCGTGAATACCAGAAAAGAAAACCTAACACTAGTGTCGATCATCCATTCGGAATAATACCATGGCCTGAAACATGGTTCCCATGCAATTTGCTACCTGAACTCCCCCTTTTTGGATAATGCTGCAGCAATCAGTTTAGATCCACTCACTGATTGGTCTGAAACAACAATATATATTGGTTGTTCAATAATCAAAATATTGTATTGAAGTCTGCTTAAGGATTAAAAGCTAGTCCGCATTCAAGTCCAAAAAAAAGCAAGTCTGCATTCAAGTCCAAAAAAAAAACAGTCCGCATTTTGACGGAGCTCAAAGTCACATTTGAACCTATTAACAATCTGGTCAGCAAGTTTCCTTCGTTTAGAACTCCATTGATATTAACATAGTTTGGACTTCAGAATCTCAGACAAATCCAGGCAACATTTTTGCAAAATGCCACAAGGCAAGCTGCTCCCACATCCAGGTCATAAAAAGTGCTCTCAGATTGCACAAGGGAACTACTTAAATTCTGCAATTAATGCACACCTGAATTTTGTACATTTGCAAGTTGTCACCACATTTATACTCTCCCATGTGTTGATCCCTAATATGATTTATATGGGATACAGCCGATGACAAATCAAATTAAGGTTGTAGGTTTTTGGTCAAGCTGGTATAATGCCAACAGAGAATGCTTGGCACACCAATAAGTTGGGCTCATTACCACAAAGAATGGTTGTCATACAATTAATAAGACGCTAAATTTACATGCCATTCTCACAGTTACATGATAGACTGTTTACCAGCATTACAGCTACAATGTGTTTCTAATCTCTGACTATTAGTTGTATGAAAAGTTCTTTAACAGAGCATAATGTGGAAACCAAATTAGCTGAAACGCAACCAAACACTTACACGACGCCTAGATCAAGAAGAACAGCTCCATGTTGCCATGAATACTAAAGCTCATGGAAATCCCAACCTAATTGTTTAACTTCGTGATCTGGTTGAAATAAAGTATGGCTAATAAAATAAGGCCCTGTTTGGAACGCGGGAATTTTTCCCTGTTCCTGGAAATTCCTGCGTTCCAAACAGGCCCAAGACCCCAAGGTTTGTCAGCTCAATGCAGCTGAACAGTTATCACATTTTTTATGACATGACAGCGTATTTAAGAAGAGAGAGAAGAAATGAGTTTCATCTAAATGAAACTCTCTTGGCACGATTACCAACTCTCTATGAGTCATGAAATTAAATGACAATGAAACCATAGAATGAAACTCTCCATTGAGAGTGGGTGTTTCATTTCATTTCATATGACATGGCAGTCTTAGAAACAACGTCATAAAACTCTCCAGTGAAACTGGCCTTACGAGTACTGCTGGCTGCTGATGCCGTTGTGCAGACTAATTTAGCAAATATGAGCGATATAGTACCTCACTAACAAAGTGCTTACCGTGTGGCCACCTTCACAGCACGAGGCATTTCTATTCGTTTACTTCACTAGATTGTGATAGGTTGTTACTGTGTTTGACATTTCCCCTTCGGTCTTATGACAAAATTGTCACAAAACCTACGAAACTACCGACCGAGGTTTGGCATTTTGCTCAAAGATAGGCGCAAGCTTGCCACCAAGCGGCCCAGAAAGCAACTAGACACAGTTAATCCCAGCACCGTCTAAAGCTAAAGTCAACACGAGACAGCAGCTGTTCACCAATCCACCACACAGCGACACCATGGCAAAATCGGGTGGGGTCGCCCAACCAACGAATCTTCGCACCAAAGAATCCTCCATCTTTTTACCAAACACCCCCCAACTTTGTACAAATTGCGCTACCTAACATTGTCCGGGATCGAGAGAGGAGCAGTAATAAGATCTAAGCTTACTCACCCGGGGCAGTGGCGGCGTGGTGGACGGACTCGACCATGGCGGTGACCTCGTCCTCCCGGATGGGGCGCAGCGCCTCGAGCCTCTTGGGCGTGAAGAGCTCGAGGTTGCAGAGCTTGCGCACCTTGATGTAGTGCGGGCCGTAGTCGGCCCAGATCAGGTCCTGCCCGTTGCGGCTGAACCGCTGGGTGGAGCGGTTCCGCGGCCGGTCCGCGAGCTGCTGGTCATTCTCCTTGAGCACCTCCTTGGCGAGCTCCGAGGTGGAGACGACGACGGTGAGGCCGGACCCGAACCAGACGGAGATGACGGGCCCATACCGCTCCGCCCACTCCTGGAAGCAGCGGCACCGGATCGGCTTGATCTGGCGCAGGTTGCCCAGGACGGGCCACGGCCGCGGGCCCGGCGGCAGGCGGCCGAGGCGGAGCCGGTTGAGGAGCGCGAGCGAGAGCGGGATCAGCACCGCCGCGAGCGCGACGGAGAGGAGGAGGGAGGCGTCCATGGCTGGGCTTGGCTGCTCGGCGGGCGCCGGGGTTTGGTGGGAAATGGTGGTGCGGTGTTCGCCGAATTTATACGGCGGGAACGGGAAGGAAAGAGTGGGGAGGGAGAGGGAGAAGGAGATTGGGGGCGGTTGGCGGTAGGTGAGTGGGACCCGCTGACTTGCCCCCTTTCCTCGTCTTTCCAGCTCACTGTTTTTCCTTTTTAAATAATATAAAGAAATTAGGTATAAAAATTGAGTACCAGCTCAGTCCGCAGGCGGAGCTGCTCACTCCAGAACTCCAGGTGAAGTCAGCTCTAGGTGGAGTTGGAGCTGTCTGATTGAGGTGTTTGGCTGGGAGGATGTCCCCAGCTTCAGAAAAGAGGAGTTTGAAGGTGAATTGTCATTCTTGCCCCCCAACTCATGGTCCCACCTGTCATCCTCTTATTCTCCTCTTTTCTTCCTTAGGGACAACCACGCCTCGCCATCGCTGTTGTTGACGATGGGGGTGAAGTATTGATTGACGGCGGGCGGCGTGGAGGGCTTCAGCCATGAGGCCGACGATGGGGAGTCGTTCTTGATATCGTGTAGGTGGCGGCTGTCGTGGGCTGGAGTCACCATGGGTGGCCTTCTTGCCCGGGGAGAAGAGGGCGGTGGAGTCCAACGCAGTGCGGAGAATCGAAAGTGGGCGTTGTCGAAACACATCCAAGAACGCGTCGAAATCAAGAAGCGATCCAAATGATCAAGAAACAAAGAGGCGAGGTTGGGAGAAGAAGAGGACTCACACAGGCGGATGTGGCGTGGCGGCGGTGATCCTCCTGGAGGACAGAGGCGTCTCCATCGGTGGTCGCTTTCTCGTCGAGGCGGATGAGAGGCGCCGTCGGCGGGTGGAGGGAGGCGGTCGGGAGGCGGAAGAAGGGGCGGGGGAGGGTGGGGAGGGCAAGTGGGGAGGAAGACAATGGCGCAGGAGGGAGGGAGTCACGGCGCGGGGGGCTCGAAAAAATAGAATCGAACCGTTTTTTCTGTAATCAGTGTCATTGGTGGGTAATTATCCATCAACTCCACGAGGAGGTTCAAAAGAGAGGGTTCTGGAGCACCAAAAGAGGTGCTCCAAAACTCCACCCCCATTCGCACTATAGCTCCATGGAGTTGGCAGCTCTGTGGAGTTTTGGAGCTGGGGTGTTTGGCTGGATTTTTTGCTAGAGTTGCTGGAGTTCTGGAGTGGAGCCATACCAAACAGGCCCATAGTCTTGTGTGTGCCAAAATTAGTTGTTTGACTAAAATTCCAGTGAATACTGTTCACATTTATGGCTACAAAATAATTCATTATGAAAATACATTTCATAGTTAAGCTAATGATATTTATTTGATATCTAAATATTGATATTTTTTATCTATAATTGAACGAACTTAAGATACTAAACCATAACATTGTGCTAGAGTTGCATTCTTTTCTGGACGAAGGGATTATTTTTCATGCCAGGATATAAAAATGTATTTTTACCTTAATATAATTCAGGAATAAGATGCCTAGGCGTCTTTCTGTCAAAAAAAAAAGTTAATGATGATTGGTTTGAGCTTAGTTGTGTGCTCTGCGGGAATCAAAGCACAAGCACTTGCTGTTGTTTTTGCCCAAATTTTTGAGGGGCAGAGTTCACCAACCCCTGGAGGAGGAGGATGGAGGATACCAGGTGCTCCTGCTGATTTAAAGGCTCGTTGACAACTTTGGAGTGGATCATATTGTTGACCGATCCCTTGTACACAAGAGCACATGACTAGAATGCGATCCAACTCAAGCCCCATTCGGCATTCAAAACGATGGAAACTTGTGGGATGCAGGGAGAGCAGATAAGACTTGCTTGTTTTTTATCGTCAGATAGAAATCAAACGTAGATAAAAGTTGTTACTACCTCTGGTCAATGTTGCCAAGTTAGGCTATAGCTAGTTGTGTACTTGTGTTTTGAAGAAACATCAAGTAGCAATGACCCCAAGAGAATACTAGTCCTATTTTTTATATAGATTTTTTTTTGTAACTTGAAGTCTTGAACCAATCTTGTTCTCCACCCTGCCCTGTGTCTGAAATATCTACATGGGCATTCTTCGCTGCTTCATTGTCTGCTGGTGGCTGCTTCATCAATTATTTTTTATTTATTACTACTCCATTCCAAATTATAAGACGTTTGACTTTTTTGGCCCCAAATTTGACCACTCGTCTTATTCAAAAAATTTGTGCAAATATAGTCAAATTTAAGTCATTCTTGAAGAATTTTTATTAATAAACCAAACCACGACGAAAGAAGTGATATTTTACACAAATTTTTGAATAAGACGAGTGGTCAAACTTGGTGTCAAAAAAATCAAACGTCTTACAATTTGGGATGGATTGAGTATTTTTTTTTGAGTGGAGCTTCACTTCATCAATGTTTGGTGAGAGGGAGAAACATGGTCGTTGGGTCCCTGTGGGCCTGATTCCTGTGGGACGACCGGCCTTCGGGCGGTTTCGGTTGCAGTCTGGACTGTTTGGTCCTGATTAGTGAAGCCAGCTCGAAGTCTTTTTCGCGTTCACCTGGAAACAAAGAAATGAACCCCGCTCGCCCACGTGCACGACACGACACGATTGCTTGGATTCAAGGACGGACGATCTAAGTCAACAAGGGCAGAGTCGTATTACAGAGTTTGCGATTCGAGTAGAGGCCCAAGTCCAAGAGGGGTGGTTCTGTTCTGCTACAATTTGGCCCGGCCCCGCGGTGGTGCTTTGCACTGTTCTGTGGCCTCTCCAACGGGCCTATGTCCTAGCAGCCCATTCCTGAGAATTATGGGCCTAATTCTGTATCCTGGTTGGATCCACGGCCCACTAGTATCTCTTAGTATGTGAAGCCGGAGCATGAGAGATTTCCCCTCAATTTGAGGGAGCCGGACTGGAAAACGTCCCTTTCGGCCTTTTGCCCTTTGGCACTTGCGTCAACGCGAGGATTTTTTTTAATCCTTTTCAAATAAATATTTTAATACTAATTAAAAAAAAAGTATTTACAAAAGTGACCTTTTTGGTCGCGCCAGCGCGGCTGGTGCGACAGTACCACGCTATCACGCTACATGCGCTGGCGCGACAAGCCCAGCCACGGTGGCACCCGACGTTGACCGTAGCTGGCGTGGCGGAGCATGGGCCCCGCCTGTTGCGCCAGCGACTCTGGCACGACAGCGTTGTAGTGCCAGGCCCATATAAAGGCGAGCTCGAGGTGAACTCATGCTGCTGTGTTTTCTCTCATCTCCTCCTCCCATCCTCTATTTGCCTTTGATCAAGTTTGCATTTGCATTTCAGGTTTAAACGATCTCGTGCATGAGGTATGACTCCCTCACCTCTGTTGTTTTTTTTCTGTTTAGTTGATGTTTATATACTGCTCTGGTTTACACTACTGTGTGCAATACTGACTTTCGTTTGGTTGAATGAAAGTTGCTTTGGCTAATCACATCTAATATATTATGGTTCATGTTGTACTTTTATGATTTTTGTGATTGATTTTGGTTGCCTGTGCATTAGGGTTTGAGTGCATTGGTTTAGACAACAGTATGAGTTGGACTGTTGATACTAAACTTTCTTCGAAGTGTGTGATTTGAAGTTTTTTTGTGGTGATTAGATGTATAGATGAGTTGGACTATGTATGTATAGACAACATTTACATTCAATAAGTTTGTTTTAGGGTTTGGCTTCATGGGTTTACATAATTATAGAGATGATTGAGATGGAAATTGTTGTTGAAATGTGTAATAGTATTGGTTCATATTTTTGCTTTCTTGAACTACTTTGTAATAGGTTCAATGGCGGTTCCAAATGACAACCAATTTGTGCACCATCCAAAGGACCATGGTGCTATCAGTCCTTTTCTACCAGCAGAGCTAACACCGTTGTGTTACTATGGGTTACTTGCATTTATGAAGCAGTCAAGGCATCCCACGTCAACTGGGCGTGCTTTCTATTGTTGCCAACTTAAGCGACGTCCCCGACACTTGATGCCTACCTAGAGGGATGCGTCTTCTATCAGTGGATCGATGGCGATGAAATGTTCGATCCGTTGATTATGTTGTTTCCTTATGACCCATGGAAGAGTGTTCCATATTCAGAATTTATTCGTTGGGTTCCGCCGCCACCGAACCCTCCGGAAATGACAGAGGCGGATAAGGTTGACGCTGCTTTGCGCCGTCTAGCCAATCCTCCTAGATGCCATTGTGGAGTGTCGGCGCGACTAACTACTCACAAGCAACGTGGAGCATTCACTGCCTTCTATCGTTGTGGATTGCCAGATTATGTGAGTTCTCATAAAAGCAATCTATCTCTAAGCTTGTATGCGTTTTGCACATACAATGTTACACTTGGAACATGTGTTTTTTGCAGAGAGGGTTCCCATCTTGTGACTTTGAGGAGTACAACTATGGACCCAAATCGCACTGGCCTTCTGAGTATGAATTTGCGGAGTTTCAAGCAGGCATTAAGCCATGGCCATGCACAAAGATGTCGGACCGTAAAGTGCAAGTGTGGCATCAAGGCTCGCGAAGGAGTTGTTCCGTCTGAGCTAGGATACGGATACTACTATGGCAATGTTTATGGAGGGCCATCTGAGTTATGGTTGAGTTGACTGAACCGATGAAGTTACTACATGAACATAGGCCACCGGTTTATTTGCTCATTGCTTTGTGTTTGCTTAGGTGGGGAGGACATGCGATTGGGAGGACTTCACTGGTCGTGGAGAGTTAGTGGAGAGGCTAAAGATACATTCGCCTCTCGAAAAAGACAGAAAGTGTTGGATGCGGGAAGAGAAGTAGATGGAGGTGTGGATGAGGTACAGGGTAGAGATACCATCATGGAAGACCCGTAACAGGATTTTAGAGGACTTTCCTCGAGTGACCGGTCGACCCCTGAATTATTACAATAGCGAGGACGAGTTGATGAGCTTCTGGCGACAAAACAAGGAGGCCTACGACTTTAAGGAGGCTGAGGATGCGAGGGAAATGGCATTTTTCCATAGGCA